AAGTAACACAATATATTTGGTTATACACACACACACACACACACACACACACACACACACACACACAAAAAGTTGCTTCTAGCACACATTAAAGTACACATCAACACCTGCAGTAAGCAGGCCTACACAGGCACACGGAGATCAGTGTCTTTCCAAATGGACGGGAAATCAAACATTGCTTGACTTTTCTTTCCTGTTACTGAAGGCAAAAAAAGACAAAACAAATTCCTTCAATGCAGCCAATCATTTTATTAATTAAAACCCTGGGCCTAATTAATCTGACTACGATTGGTGAATCAAAGTAATTATAAGGTTTATTGAGTTCTGCACACAGTAGTTAGAGGGAAGGCTGCTCGATGAGTGCAACCCAACGCACCTGTCAGGAGGAATGTTTATCCATGTGTGAATCAATAATGACTCACTGTGTTATATCCAAAGTCAAGCAAGCCACTCGATATATTACACACGGTCAAGAGTACAAAGAAAGAGATGTTTTTAATGGCACTTCCAATATCCATGCCAGGTAAATACCGAGGGAGGCGCGGGTATGAGAGGTGATGCGCAGGGGTGAAGCAGAGAGATCAAATACACCTGGCTTATTAGAAAAGAAGTCTGCTCAGACTGCATAAAGAGCACTTCTCCAAACATAACACAGACCCTATCAACACCGGCCAAACTTTTCCAGAGTGGTTTGTCATGCCTGAAACTGTCTGTCACCTCTTCCGTGGAAGCGGGATTAGCCATTTTTCTGAGTTTGTGACGGTGAGGAAGGTAAGGGAGGAAAAAAAAAAAAGTTCTGTCCCCTCGCTTTCACTGGCTCTGAGTATTCAGCCATTACAGTAAAAAGCCCCAATTTGTGCCACCCACTTCCCACTCCACAGAGATGGCAAGCTGAAGCCCATCTCAAAGCACAAAAAGCACAAAATGCCAAGGAAAGTCATCAAAAGTTTGCTGAAGAGCTGCTGGAGCGGACAAAAACACAGACGAGTGCAGGCGCACCGTCTATTTAACCTGGGTTGCTATGCAAGAAAAAATGACATCCCCAGTCTATTAATGCACACATTGTATAAACAGCACAATGTGACACATTCTTCAGAATGAGAGAGCGAGCCAGACAGAGAGAGAGAGAGAAAGAGCCAGACCCTGCTATATAAATAACAAGGCACTCAGAGGCATATTTGATGTTGATATCCATCACTGAGGTTGGAAAAGAGGAAAAAAACAAGAGAAGGGAAAATAACACACAGAGCGACCAAGACCGCGACATGGGGATCCTTATGAAAATAAGATTCAGCCCAAATGGATCTGGTGTAATTGGTTTCAGATAGTGAGGTCAGGAGAAAGGCGATACAGGCAACTATTATGCGAAACGGACTGAGAAACAAGAATGTTTACACAGGCATTCCTCTGCTACATTAATAGGCATGCAGAGATCGCTGGAGAGGGAGAAAAGGAGAGAGTGTGAAGAGACTGACAGAGAGGGGAAGAGAGAGGGAACTGGAAAAAAAACACAACACATCAGACAACCATCCATTCATCCCTCCCTCCCACTATCCTCCACTCTCCCTAGCCCCAGTGTTTAGACTCTATACAGAACAGGGTAATAAGGAACACCTATCACAATGCACCTTTGTAAGGAGCATGCAAAGATCTTAAACAAGCATGAAATACATTAGCAGGCCCTGCAATACTGGGCCAAACCATTACAAATCTCCAGATTGCTTATTGTGTGTGATGGAGGGGTTGGGGTTGCGTGAAAGAAATAAGCCATCCACTAAGAATGTCACTCTTTCAAATCCACCTGGAGACTGCACGATATGCAGCCATGACATTGGAATTGGATATATCTGAGGGGCTGTGACATTGTGTTTGGACAGTGCAGATCACTTCCTGGCTTCTGTCACGTTGGGAGTTGTTGTTATTAGGGGCTATAGCAGATGTTGGAATGATGACACAGGTATGAAATAAGCTGCCCTCAACAGGTACGTCTTCACAGCCGTTACAGGATGTTTCCACGTTCCAGAAAGTAGCCGTAAACGTGGCGTATCTATCGTTGATCAATAAGAAATGGGTTGCATCACGATAACACGGTCTCACTGTAGTGTTCAGAACAGATGTTTATGCATGTGTGTGTGTTTGTTGTAGGGAGTAAAGGGCTGCTGTTCAACACTAGGCTGTCGGCCAGAACAACTCTAGTCATGCTGACAGCTTTGACAACCGCCCCCACCCCGCACCCACCCACGCACACCTAAACACACACACAAACACACACACACCGAACACACATAGAGCACTGCACCACCAGGCTTATCTATCTTTGCTTCCAAGAAACACAGACACAGAAGGAGGGGGGGGGGGAGGCAAAAAGGAAAAAGTGTGACACTTTATCAAGCCGGAGAGAGTCGCATGCCACGGAAAACAAGGCACAAACAGTTTAAGCTGAACAAACAAACACGGCTGATTGGACTGAGGCTGCCGGGCTGCTGGCGGGGGAGATATGCGCTGACACTCCACACCAAAATATTTACACCCTATCTTCTTATATAAGTGGATTCAGGGCAGATGGATGGATGGATACGGATTTGGAGGGGCTGGCTGAAGAGGATAGACAAATGAGAAGGGAAGGATAAGATGTCCCATACAATGTCTGAATACAAAAGTGGGGCCTGAGTTTGTGAAAACAAGCAAAGTGTGACCGGGGTACATTGTCGGAACAGCAGAGGCCCTAAACAGTCTCTGCGCAAGAATCGGAGAAAGGATGCAGCTGCGTGGCGTTGAGATTATGTCATGAAACAGAAAGTTCAAGCTGCAGCTGAAGTGACGATACAGTCCGTGTGTATTAGAGCTAAACCCTGAGGCCGGTGATGCTCCACGTCTTATTTTGTAAAACACTGCATCAGAGATGATGGAGGAGCAAAGAACAACCTTCATTATGTATTGGTGAGAACCTTTTTGTGATGATGCTTTGAACACTGGTGAATTCCTGCAGATATTACATGATTGTTTGATGATGATGTTTTTATCGTCGGGTCAGTGCTTGATGTGTGTGCTTCTATGGTTGCTACTGATCTCATTCACCTTAAGTAACTCGGCCAGCAGCGAGTAGAAAGACTATTATCCTTTTCTAAAAGGTCAGAACTGGCGATGACGCGCCGGTGCCTCGACAATGGCTCCAGATTCAGTTCCCTTATCGCCTCCACAAAGCTCACACAAA